GGAGGGTCTACCCCGAGGGCTGCTGGGGATCAGCCTGCCCTTGGCAGAACCAGAACCACTGGGAAAGGGACGAAATGGACCGCTGCCGGGTTTGCGTGAGACGCCCCCTGAGGTCCGTGTGCGATGACCCAGCTGCGTGACTGGCGGACATCCCGGGGCCAGGAGACCAAGCCCGGTCCTCCGCTGATGAGAGCGGGACTGTGCGCACTGCGGCCCGGCAGCTGCTCCCAGGCCGAGGCCGCCTCGCAGTAATAGGTTCCTCCGGTGTGACCGGTGTGACCGGTGTGACTGGTGTGACCGGTGTGACCGGTGTGACCGGTGTGACCGGTGTGACCGGTGTGACCGGTGTGACCGGACCGCGCTGCCGCCCTCAGCTCAGGTGGAGGCGCGCGTACTCCGGCCGCCTGGTCTGGATGATCTTGGGTTTGGGCCTCTTCGTCCTTTCCATCTCCTCCTCCTCCTCCTCCTGCTCGCTCTCGCACACGTGCACCACGACGCTGGGCGTGGTGGCGGTGGCCGTGCAGCTCGTTGACCGGTGTGACCGGTGTGACCGGTGTGACCGGACCGCGCTGCCGCCCTCAGCTCAGGTGGAGGGGCGCGTACTCCGGCCGCCTGGTCTGGATGATCTTGGGTTTGGGCCTCTTCGTCCTTTCCATCTCCTCCTCCTCCTCCTCCTGCTCGCTCTCGCACACGTGCACCACGACGCTGGGCGTGGTGGCGGTGGCCGCGTGCAGCTCGTACTTTTCCCCTGGAGAGAGAGCGGTGCGGGGTCACTCGGGCGAGAGTGGAAGGGCGAGCACAGGGACAACTGCCTCGCTTCTGCTCAGGCCGAGGGGACGGGGACACGTCCCGGACAGGCCTGGCTTCGGTGGCGCCATCCAGAAAGGAGGAGCCGTGAGCAGGGCCTCCGCCTCCCCTGCGGGGCCTCCTGACCGCTCGGAAGGCGCCTTCACCCACCAAAGGCGGGCAGATGCCTTTGCTCAGCCGCACGGTGAGCCTGGGAGGCTGTAACTGTCTGAAAAGGCGCCAGGGCCTCGGCTGGGGGAGCGCTGCCGGGAGGATCAGACAGTCACGGGCAACCTTGGCCACGATGGTCCTAACACACCCTCCAACCTACCCATCAGGTGCCACCCAGAGGGTGCGGGGGTGGGACCACGTGTGCAAAACCTCTGCCATCTTGCGGGCTGCAAAGCACAGCCAGATGGTGACAAGTCACCGGCTCCGTGAGGACGCCCAGGGCACGCTGGCTTTAGGGGGTCTGCTTCTGCCACAGCTTCTCCCTGAACCCCCGCGGGGAGGTGCTGGCAGAGCTTCTCCCTCAGCAGCGCCCTCTCCAGCAGCCTGGCCCGAGGTGGAGGGGCGTGTACTCCGGCCGCCCTGCAGGGGCCCGACCCCCCTGCTCTGCTCCTGGGAGACCCTGTCCCCCTGCTCTGCCCGGGGACTCCAGCCCTCAGCCCGACCGCCCTGGCAGGAGCTGTGGGAGCACATGCCGCCAGCCGGCGCCCGCCTCGACCTTCACGCGCCGCGGGCCGTGGGTAACCGATCCCTGCCCTCCCCGCACAGGACATTTCAGAAATGTGACCTTTTCCATGTGAAAGTGCTGACGGCCGAGAAACCGCAACCCTTGGCCGAGGACATCTGACTGCGGCTCAAGGAGAAACGGGGGCCGTGGCTCAGCACTTGCTCCTCTGCTGCAGGGACCAGGCGGGGCCACCCCTCTTCACCCCGAGACCCCACACCCGCCTCCTCCCCAGACTCTCTACCGCACGGCCAGGCGCCCCCAACAGTTTACCGTTTCGGGAAACCATGAGCTGAGCGTGGCCGGGGCCGGGCGCCGCGGGAGCTCCCAGGCCCCACGGGGGTCAGAGCCCGTCTCACGAAGGAGCCAAGGCCCGGGAGCCGGTGCCCCCAAGGCTCACACCTTGTCCCCTCGGGGACTGGAGCCTTCTATCTCTGGCCAGCTCCGCAGGGAGCAGCCCCGGGGGCAGGAGGAGTGCGGGGGGGCTCGGCTCTTCCTTCCTGTGACCAGTGGCTCTGCACCCCGACACTGGGCAGGGAGCTGAGAGTCAGGCAGTGACAGAGGACCCTCCCACAGGGCAGCATTTCCAAGGGGGTCTGGTTTCCCTCCCACAGTCCACGCTCATCTCCACTTGGAGCCCACACAGGCTGTGTCAGTGGGTGAGATGGGGTCACGGGATGCTGGCCAGGAGGGGCCCTGGCGTTCGGTCCCCACAACCACCTCCCTCCCTGTGTGCTCCTCCCTCAGGAGCGAGGCCAGAGGCAGCACGCCCCCCACGAGTTCCACTGAAGCTGACGGTGCGGACGGGTGATTCCGCTGGCACCAGTCACATGGGGTGGGAAGGACAGTGTGGAGGCCACGCCCCCCGACCCTGAGCACCTGCGTCTGGGCCCTCAGCACTGTCTCTCCTCACCACTGCCCCCCCCAGGGCCCACTCACTTACCCCCCGATCTGGGAGCCCGCTCACCTGGTCCTGGGACCCCGCTCACCTGGCCCTGGGACCCCGCTCACCTGGCCCGGGGACCC